CCAAACATAAGGGAATTCTCTTAACACATACACTACCGTTCAAAAGTTTGGGGTCATTTAGAAATGTCCTTGTTTTCGAAAGAAAAGCACATTTTTTGTACATTAAAATAACATCAAATTGATCAGATATACAGTGTAGACATTGTTAATGTTGTAAATGGCTATTGTAGCTGGAAACGGCTGATTTTTTATGGAATATCTACATTAGGCGTACAGAGGCCCATTATCAGCAACCATCATTCCTGTGTTCCAATGGCACGTTGTGTTTGCTAATCCAAGTTTATCATTTTAAAAGGCTAATTGATCATTAGAAAACCCTTTTGTAATTATGTTAGCACAGCTGAAAACTGTTGTGCTGATTAAAGAAGCAATAAAACTGGCCTTCTTGAGACTAGTTGAGTATCTGGAGCATCAGCAATTGTGGGTTTGATTACAGGATCAAAATGGCAGAAACAAATAACTTTATTCTGAAACTCGTCAGTCTATTCTTGTTTTGAGAAATGAAGGCTATTCCATGCGAGAAATTGCCAAGAAACTGAAGATCTCGTACAACGCTGTGTACTACTCCCTTCACAAAACAGCGCAAACTGGCTCTAACCAGAATAGAAAGAGGAGTGGGAGGCCCCAGTGCACAACTGAGCAAGAAGACAACTACATTAGTGTCTAGCTTGAGAAACAGGCGCCTCACAGGTCCTCAACTGGCAGCTTCATTAAATAGTACCCGCAAAACAACAAAGTGAGCCCAAACTTTTGAACAGTAGTGTACATTAACAAAATGAATCAAATCCAGTCAAAATACTGTAAGATGTAAAGTACACTACCGGTCAAAAGTTTGGACACACCTACTCATTCAAGGGTTTTTCTTTATTTTTACTATTTTCTACATTGTAGAATAATAGTGAAGACATCAAAACTATGAAATAACACATATGGAATCATGTAGTAACCAAAAAAAGTGTTAAACAAATCTAAATATATTTTATATTTGCAATTCTTCAAATAGCCACCCTTTGCCTTGATGACAGCTTTGCACACTCTTGGCGTTCTCTCAACAAGCTTCATGAGGAAGTCACCTGGAATGCATTTCAATTAACAGGTGTGCCTTCTTAAAAGTTAATTTGAGGAATGTATTTCCTTCTTAATGCGTTTGAGCCAATCAGTTGTGTTGTGACAAGGTAGATAGGCCTATTTGGTAAAAGACCAATTCCATATGGCAAGAACAGCTCAAATGAGCAAAGAGAAACGACAGTCCATCATTACTTTAAGACATAAAAGGTCAGTCAATAGGGAAAATGTCAAGAACTTTGAAAGTTTCTTCAAGTGCAGTCGCAAAAGCCATCAAGCGCTATGATGAAACTGTCTCATGAGGACCGCCACAGGAATGGAAGACCCAGAGTTACCTCTGCTGCAGAGGTCTGGAGTCCAAATTTGAGATTTTTGGTTCCAACCACCGTGTCTTTATGAGACGCGGTGTGGGTGAACGTATGATCTCCGCATGCGTGTTTCCCACCGTGAAGCATGGAGGAGGTGGTGTGATGGTGCTTTGCTGGTGACACTGTCAGTGATTTATTTAGAATTCAAGGCACTCTTTAACAGCATGGCTACCACAGCATTCTGCAGCGATACGCCATCCCATCTGGTTTGCGCTTAGTGAGACTATCATTTGTTTTTCAACAGGACAATGACCCAACACACCTCCAGGCTGTGTAAGGGCTATTTGACCAAGAAGGAGAGTAATGGAGTGCTGCATCAGATGACCTGGCCTCCACAATCCCCCGACCTTAACCAAATTGAGATGGTTTGGGATGAGTCGGACGACAGAGTGAAGGAAAAGCAGCATGTGGGAACTCCTTCAAGACTGTTGGAAAAGCATTCCAGGTGAAGCTGGTTGAGAGAATGCCAAGAGTGTGCAAAGCTATCATCAAGGCAAAGGGTGGCTATTTGAAGAATCTCAAATATAAAATATATTTTGATTTGTTTAACACTTTTTTGGTTACTACATGATTCCATGTGTTATTTCATAGTTTTGATGTCTTCACTATTATTCTACAATGTAAAAAATAGTAAAAATAAAGAAAACCCCTTGAATGAGTCGGTGTTCTAAAACGTTTGACTGGTAGTGTATGTATAACAAATAATATTGAATAAAAACACATCAATTGTATATTTTTTTCATTACTCATAAAACCAGGACATTGTGGAATGAAAGAACAGGAATAACTAGAGTCTGATGAACGATCAAAAAAAAGTGTACAGAGAAAACAATATAATCTAAAACTTCTGTTGGCAAAAATCATAGTCAATACAATGCATGCAGAAGTCAGATAACATAACTGTTTTGAAACAAAGATCATAAATATTTGACAGTGTTTGACACTACCATCCATCCATAGCCTTGCAAATGCGTCGCTGTCCACGTGCATTTAAAGAGGATATCTACTGCCCATGTTTCTAGCTGTTCACGTTTGATTCATATTCATTCATATCAAAACGAATAACTTATTGCACAAGCCCATAATTCATGATGGATCTTTACAATGTTAGCTATGTATGGCCTAGGAGCAATATGCAGATTGCCGGTCATGTCATACGTTCAGTGCAACCGTATAAATCTTTTTTAATTCAATTTTTCTTTTCTATCTTATCAGTGTGGCCACAGCCTTCCAATTCTACGCATAATGTTGGCCCTCTTGTGAGAAATGGATGGCATTTGATTCGTCTGCTGCAAAACATTCCATCTTCTAGGAACAAAGTATTTACATTAGGTAGGATAACCAGCTCAGAAATAAAACTGTGGTGGAAATGTGGTTTTTAGTTGCTATTGTCGGTCAAAGATCTACAGAGAAAATCTAAATTGCTTCCTGATAACTTATGGAAGCCATATATACCGGCTCTCCTATGCAGTGAAACGACAGATTCCTAGTATTACAAATCTTTGTTTTCCAACACTTGTGCTGTCTTGACAACTCCTATGGTTGTGTTTGGCAAGACAGTGCAAACAGATCTGGGATCAGGTTAGAATGGATCTGCCTTGACCTGATAACGACATTTGGCAGCATCATCAACTTGCTAACTCGCTATTTTCTATATATTTTTTCACTTTATAATAGTCAATTAGTAATAAATGCATTACATTGATTATGCACTGTGAGTTGTGATAATAAAACAATTCTGATAGGACAGACATCACAATCAGAGTACATCGAGTTATAAACACACCACATACTGTAAGGTAGTATTTCTGCACTTTTAGATTCTCTTTGGCAAAAAAACAATCTACCATAATAGAATTCAACTACTTTGGGTTTTTGGAATATCACTTAACGTCACAAGATATACATGCTTTCTATCTGTTAAGTCCGCTACTACACTGAACAACAATATAAATGCAACATGTAAAGTGTTGGTCCCATGTTTCATGACCTGAATAGATCCCGGAAATGTTCCATACGCTTAAAATGCAAATTGTTCTAAAGTTTTCTGCACAAATTTGTTTACATCCCCGTTAGTGAGCATTTCTCCTTTGCCAAGATAATCCGTCCACTTGACAGGTGTGGCATATCAATAAGCTGATTAAACAGCATGATCATTACACAGGTGCACCTTGTGCTGGGGACAATAAAAGGCCACTAAAATGTGCAGTTTTGTCACACAACACCATGCCACGGATGTCTCAAGTTTTGAGTGAGCGTGCAATTGGCATGCTGTCTGCAGGAATGTCCACCAGAGCAGTTGCCAGATAATTTAATGTTCATTTATCTACCATAAGCCACCTCCAACGTTGTTTTAGAGAGTTTACCAGTACATCAAACCGGCCTCACATCCGCAGACCATGTGTATGGCGTTGTGTGGGCGAGCGGTTTGCTGATGTCAACGTTGTGAACAGAGTGCCCCATGGTGGCGGTGGGGTTACAGTGTGGGCAGGCATAAACTACGGACAACGAACACAATTGCATTTTATCGATGGCAATTTGAATGCACAAAAATACCATGACGAGTTCCTGAGGCCCATTGTGAGGCCCATTTTTTTTTGTGACCAACAGATGCATATCTGCATTCCCAGTCATGTGAAATCCATAGATTAGGGCAATTGACTGATTTCCTCATATGAAATGTAACTCCGTAAAATCTTTGAAATTGTTGCATTTATATTTTTGTTCAGTATACTTACTTGAAAAATTGTAGTTAGTAAAAACATGGCTAATAATAAATCATAATGCATTTAGGACTAGTTAACTAAGACTATAAACATGGCAACAAAGTGAAATACATTTGGTATACATTTCCTTTTCTAAAAAAAATCGTATCAAGTCTATGGTCACACGATGAGTCTTCGTTAAGCAAGAACAAAACAAAAAGTTGCGGAAAACATCTTCCAGAGCACTGCAGTGACAGCTAGGAAGCTAACGCTACACATGAGTGTGTTCGATAATACTACTACTGACTTCAGGATGGTCAGGGTGAAAACCCTCCATTGGAAAAACATCTCAGCTAAATTAGCTACTAACTGTACATGACCAGCGATGGGTTTTAGGTTCAGCCTTCTGGGCCCGAATACATGAAGCCTCTCACATTAGCAGTGCTGATCTAGGATCAGTTTTGCCTTTTCAAAATCACAATAATGAATAAGATCAGCACTCCTACTCTGAAACTCTGTGAACACAACATGGGCCTGATCTAGGAAGGACAGCTTCGGAATCCATGCACTTCCAGCTGACACAGCAGTAGTCTGTGCGCTCGAGGTACAAGTTGACCTTAAGCACAGATCTAGGATTAGATTGCCCCTACCCAATTCTAGCAGTAACCATTAGCTGGGCGAAGCAAGATCTGACCCTAGATCAGTGGTTTGTACCTCAGTCGGGGCAGGGTTGTGGTGGTGGTGTTTTGCTGCCCTCTACGGATCTGAGCTTGGCAGTGAAGGTGTGGCTCAGGAGGTTTTGGAAAGAAAGGAGGAGCAAGAGGAGGAGGGGGCGGGGAACAAGGAGGAGACTTGGGCGGGGCTACTCGTCGCAGCCCAGCAGCTCCATTCGCAAGGTGATGCGCCCGTGCCATGCCCACGGCAGGATGCGGACGAATCGGGCGTAGAAGGGCGGCTCGAACAGGTTCTTCTTGTGGACATTGTTGTCGCTGTTGCCCGGGAAGATCTGGAGGTTGGGGAGCAGAATCACACGCAGAGACACACGGGAGTTAGTTAGCTAGCTAGCTGGTTAGACTGAACATCCATCATGGAATCTATAGAACATCGTGAAATCTATGACACATATCTCATGGCAACGGTTGTTTGAGGTTCTGTTTATTGTGTAAAAAAATAAAAAAGGAGTAAATTACAATTGGGAAAGAAAAAACTTAATTTAATAGCTTTAATTTGGTCCATATTCCTACACAGCCACACATTGGGTAAATTCATCTTGGGCTCACTTCTTTGGATGCAAGATGCAAAAAACCGACCTTGTCTGTGCTGGTGACATCGTCCTTGACTATGCTCCAGAACTGTCCATCGTCACTGTAGGCCACCTTGAAGGCAGAGACAAACTGGACCGCCCCAAAGTCCTTGGCCCCCTGGGTTATAATACCTGTGATTCTCTTGGGGGACTCCAGGTCTACCTGTTACAGAAGGAGAATGGGTCAGAACAAGCAGGACTCCAGGTCTACCTGTTACAGAAGGAGAATGGGTCAGAACAAGCAGGACTCCAGGTCTACCTGTTACAGAAGGAGAATGGGTCAGAACAAGCAGGACTCCAGGTCTACCTGTTACAGAAGGAGAATGGGTCAGAACAAGCAGGACTCCAGGTCTACCTGTTCCAGAAGGAGAATGGGTCAGAACAAGCAGGACTCCAGGTCTACCTGTTCCAGACGGAGGGTTGGGTGCCGGAGTCTGCTCTACATTTACATTTTAGTCATTTAGCAGACGATCTTATCCAGAGCGACTTACAGTTAAGTGAGTGCATACATTTTTCATACTGGCCCCCCGTGGGAATCGAACCCACAACCCTGGCATTGCAAGCACCATGCTCTACCAACTGAGCTACAGGAGGGCTCTAGTGGCAACGCTGGCGATTTCGAACTACACATCTCCGTTACTTGTCTGTCTGTATCCCCCACTACACTGTTCCACCATGAATAATAAGCATCTTGGAGCATCTTGGGCTAACCTAGATAAATCAAGTTCAAAACAAATTGTCAGTAATTTGTCGGTAAAGTAAAACGGTGAGAGAGAATCTTCCAGAACTTTCCCCAACAACACAAATCTCCCTCAGCTATAGCCCCCTCAAAAATTCAAATAGATGTTTTATTGTCACACACCAGATAGGTGCAGTGAAACGTCTAGTTTTACAGGGTCAGACATAGTAGTACGGCACCCCTGGAGTAAATTAGGGTTAAGTGCCTTGCTCAAGGGGCACAACAACAGATTTTTCACCTTGTTGGCTCGGGTATTCTAACCAGCAAACTTTTGGATACTGGCCCAATGCGCTAACCGCTAGGATACCTGCCGCCCACTAAGTGACCCCACCACCCACACCATTTCCCAAAATCCCCTCTGAACCTCTTGCAGTTACCTGCAGCCACTCAGAGCGTTTGGTGGTGTCCGCCGTCCAGGCGTTGGTCTTGCCCTGCTTGTCCAGCCGAGCGTAGTGAGGCTGCCAGGTGAACGCCTCCATACCCCAGGTGCGGTGGACGCTGGAGGCCGAGATCTGGCGGTCGGCGAGCAGGCGCGACTTCATGCCCAGGGGCTCGGAGCAACCTGCCGTGTTTGAATAAACTGTGAAGTGAGACAACAAGCACCAGCAGGGAAAGAGAGAGAAGTATGATAGACAAGAGACGGACAGGAAAGGCCCAAGCCAGCCAGCCGGTGAGCAGCACAGTGAAAGCACATGGATGATGACAGCCAGTAATGACCAGAGTTGTGGTGAGGTGGACGGAGTAGTGACGGTACAGCCATAGGGAATAGAGTTTGGCCAACCTATCTTCCAGGTTGGCTCTCTGATGATAGAATGCAATTGTCTTGGAGCTTTTGGCGGCCATTTAAATGCTACATTTCAAACTGAGTTGGGCTGAACTCTGAACAGCCCATGTTGCGGCTCTGATGAAGGTGTGCACCAGAGTTTACTGAACTTGGTCCTGGGGACCCCAATGGGTGCATGTTTTGGTTTTTGCCCTAGCACTACACAGCTGATTCAAATAATCAAAACTAAAAACGTGCACCTCTTGGGGTCCCCAGGACCGAGTTTGGAAAATGCTGGTGTAGACAGAGAGAGACGGACAACATACGGCAGCCAACTAGTGGAGCATGTAGGTTAGTTGGACTGAGACGTCAGTGAGTCGTACGCGCACGTCTACATTTTACATGTTAGTCATTTAGCAGACGCTCTTATTCAGAGCGACTTACAGTTAGTGAGTGCATACATTTTTCATACTGGCCCCCACCGTGGGAAACGAACCCACAACCCTGGCGTTGCAAGCGCCATGCTCTACCAACTGAGCTACAGTAGGACCAGCATCATGCGTGCCCAAGATTGTCGACCGAGTCACATTTACTGTATGTTGGGCAAAACATTGAGCCTGCACTTCGCTTAGTGTGTGTTGCAGGATGTTTTTTGTAGCATGCATGTGTGAGTGCAGTACGAGGTACAGGTGGAAACGCCGTAACCAAGCACAACCAGCACAGCATAGCATGCTTTGACAGACAGTCAATCAAAGATGGATCAATTATTTCTGACTACTTTTAAAAACACACAGACACACATCAGTTTCACTTAGCTAAATTAAACCATGCCAGAGAACCCATGGCATCATGATCCAACAAATAAAGTACAGAAACTTTATACAGAAAGTTGTTGCAGCAGAGAGGACATAAAGGCAGTCCAAAATATATCTACTACTTGCATGGATAAAAGTCTGTGATGATCAATATGACTTGGTTACAATCCCCAAAAAACAGATTTATTTACACCATAGATCTCGTTGCCAATGTTTCCACCGCAAAAATGTCCATATGGTGTAGATAAATCACTTTTTGGATGTTTTCTTTTCTCAACCAGACAGGACTGATGCAAAGTGGGCAGTATGTATGAGCATCTGGACAGGTAGTGAGTCGGACTGGATCAGACTTATTTCCCACAGTGTCATTTCAGTCAGACCTAAACCAAAAACCTTCATTATCATTTCAGTCAGACCTAAACCAAAAACCTTCATTATCATTTCAGTCAGACCTAAACCAAAAACCTTCCGTATCATTTCAGTCAGACCTAAACCAAAAACCTTCCGGTAAAACTCAAAACCTCCTGTACCATATAACCATACGACACACTGAAACCAAACCCCATTCAGTTTGAGTTTGTTGACGTTGTTATCGGTGTGCGCGCATGCGTAAGTAAGCATGCACGTGTGTGTGTGTGTGTGTGTGTGTGTGTGTGTGTGTGTGTGTGTGTGTGTGTGTGTGTGTGTGTGTGTGTGTGTGTGTGTGTTTACCATTGAGCTCACAGCCCACCAGCTCCATGCGTAGGGTGCAGGCCTTGCGGCAGACCACGGGGATGATGCGGAAGTACTGGCTGATGATGGGAGGGTCAAACAGGTTGGTCTTGGTGCCGTCGTTGTCCACGTTCCCCACAAACACCTGGAGAAGTAGAAGAAATTAAGAATATTATATTTGATCTAAAGTGACTTACAGTCATGCGTGTTTACATTTTTCATTCGGGTGGCCCCAGGGGGAAACCGTAAAAGGCACAGTTCACCACCCACAACAAATCCACGCCTTTCATTAATATCCAGGCACCCTATTCCCCTCTAACTCAACTCTGGACCTTGAAGCCAGTTCCACTGCTGATGTTCATTCTTTCCCTGTAATCAGGGACTGATTTAGACCTGGGACACCAGGTGGGAGCAATTCATTATCAGGTAGAACAGAAACCCAGCAGGCTCCGGACCTCGCAGGGTAAGAGTTGAAGACCCCTGCCCTAGACCCTAAATAGAACACTCAAAAAATGTAGAAGATGATCAAATCAGCCATAGTGTGTGTGTGTACATCAGAGGATGTGTGTGTGTGTACGTGTGTGTGTGTGTGTACATCAGAGGATGTGTGTGTGTGTGTGTGTGTGTGAGTGTGTGTACATCAGAGGATGTGTGTGTGTGTGTACATCAGAGGATGTGTGTGTGTACATCAGAGGATGAGTGTGTGTGTGAGAGTGTGTGTGAGAGTGTGTGTACATCAGAGGATGTGTGTACATCAGAGGATGTGTGTGTGTGTGTACATCAGAGGATGTGTGTGTGTGTGTGTGAGAGTGTGTGTACATCAGAGGATGTGTGTACATCAGAGGATGTGTGTGTGTGTGTGTACATCAGAGGATGTGTGAGTATGTATCAGAGGATGTGTGTGTGTGTGTGAGTACATCAGAGGATGTGTGTGTGTGTGTGTGAGTACATCAGAGGATGTGTGTGTGTGAGTGTGAGTACATCAGAGGATGTGTGTGTGTGAGTACATCAGAGGATGTGTGTGTGTGTGGGGGTGTGTGTGTGTTTGTGTGTGTGTGTGTACATCAGAGGATGTGTGTGTGTGTACAGAGGATGTGTGTGTGTGTACATCAGAGGATGTGTGTGTGTGTGTTTTCACTCACAGAGTCCTTTGTCTGCCCGTCCAGGCGGTACATAGTGTAGGTCCTCCCGTCCAGACTGGACGCCACTTTAAAGGCCTTGATGAACTCTGCTGACCCCATGCGGCTGGCGCCCTGCGTCACGATGCCCGTGAAACGCATCTTCCTCTGCATGTTAATCTGCACAAAGGACAACACACACGGTTTAATTTCAGATCTGCAACTATGTTCTAGTCAACATGGTTTACTTTCAGATCTGCTACCATATACGAGTCAACATTAAAGTGAATGTCTCGAATGACTGATTGGTCCTAGAGTCATGAAACCTTCACTGCACATGGAGGGAGATGACAACCTTCAATCTGTATGTAAAAAAGGTCCACGCCGACAACATTAATCAATGCAATGAGGAGAGTCTTGAGAATAAAACACATTTGTCAGAATTAAAGTACACTGCTCAAAAAAATAAAAGGGAACACTTAAACAACACAATGTAACTCCAAATCAATCACACTTCTGTGAAATCAAACTGTCCACTTAGGAAGCAACACTGATTGACAATACATTTCACATGCTGTTGTGCAAATGGAATAGACAACAGGTGGAAATTATAGGCAATTAGCAACACACCCCCAATAAAGGACTGGTTTTGCAGGTGGTGACCACAGACCACTTCTCAGTTCCTATGCTTCCTGGCTGATGTTTTGGTCACTTTTGAATGCTGGCGGTGCTTTCACTCTAGTGGTAGCATGAGACGGAGTCTACAACCCACACAAGTGGCTCAGGTAGTGCAGCTCATCCAGGATGGCACATCAATGCGAGCTGTGGCAAGAAGGTATGCTGTGTCTGTCAGCGTAGTGTCCAGAGCATGGAGGCGCTACCAGGAGACAGGCCAGTACATCAGGAGACGTGGAGGAGGCCGTAGGAGGGCAACAACCCAGCAGCAGGACTGCTACCTCCGCCTTTGTGCAAGTAGGAGCAGGAGGAGCACTGCCAGAGCCCTGCAAAATGACTTCCAGCAGGCCACAAATGTGCATGTGTCTGCTCAAACGGTCAGAAACAGACTCCATGAGGGTGGTATGAGGGCCCGACGTCCACAGGTGGGGGTTGTGCTTACAGCCCAACACCGTGCAGGACGTTTGGCATTTGCCAGAGAACACAAAGATTGGCAAATTCGCCACTGGCGCCCTGTGCTCTTCACAGATGAAAGCAGGTTCACACTGAGCACGTGACAGACGTGACAGAGACTGGAGACGCCGTGGAGAACGTTCTGCTGCCTGCAACATCCTCCAGCATGACCGGTTTGGCGGTGGGTCAGTCATGGTGTGGGGTGGCATTTCTTTGGGGGGCCGCACAGCCCTCCATGTGCTCGCCAGAGGTAGCCTGACTGCCATTAGGTACCGAGATGAGCTCCTCAGACCCCTCGTGAGACCATATGCTGGTGCGGTTGGTCCTGGGTTCCTCCTAATGCAAGACAATGCTAGACCTCATGTGGCTGGAGTGTGTTAGCAGTTCCTGCAAGAGGAAGGCATTGATGCTATGGACTGGCCCGCCCGTTCCCCAGACCTGAATCCAATTGAGCACATCTGGGACATCATGTCTCGCTCCATCCACCAACGCCACGTTGCACCACAGACTGTCCAGGAGTTGGCGGATGCTTTAGTCCAGGTCTGGGAGGAGATCCCTCAGGAGACCATCCGCCACCTCATCAGGAGCATGCCCAGGCGTTGTAGGGAGGTCATACAGGCACGTGGAGGCCACACACAATACTGAGCCTCATTTTGACTTGTTTTAAGGACATTACATCAAAGTTGGATCAGCCTGTAGTGTGGTTTTCCACTTTAATTTTGAGGGTGACTCCAAATCCAGACCTCCATGGGTTGATAAATTTGATTTCCATTGATAATTTTTGTGTGATTTTGTTGTCAGCACATTCAACTATGTAAAGAAAAAAGTATTTAATAAGATTATTTCATTCATTCAGATCTAGGATGTGTTATTTTAGTGTTTCCTTAATTTTTTTGAGCAGCGTATGTCCTAGTTGCAGTTTTATCTGCACTGATATGAAATAACTGACAGGTGAAAGTAATTCCCTTGTAGGCAGCCACAATATATTGCTTTGACCTCTCCCCCATAATGACGTTTCACCTCTCCCCCATAATGACGTTTCACCTCTCCCCCATAATGACGTTTCACCTCTCCCCCATAATGACGTTTCACCTCTCCCCCATAATGACGTTTCACCTCTCCCCCATAATGACGTTTCACCTCTCCCCCATAATGACGTTTCACCTCTCCCCCATAATGACGTTTCACCTCTCCCCCATAATGACGTTTCACCTCTCCCCCATAATGACGTTTCACCTCTCCCCCATAATGACGTTTCACCTAGATCAGTAGATAAGGGAGAGAGACTTTACTATGGAGATACCCTCCTAGACTAGATCAGTAGATAAGGGAGAGAGATCAGGGTCATGTTCATTAGGAACTGCAGCAGTTTATTTTGCAAAGCAGAAAAAAAGCCTCTGTCATTAGACAAGTCCAGGTAGTCTCTTGGTTTCAGTCAGTTTTCATGCCTGAAGAACACGAGCCAGACAGTGGTGTTTGAGCCAGACTGTTGTACTGTACTGACCTCTATCCAGGGGTTCCTGTCGTAGGAGGCTGAGGTCCAGGCATTAACCAGGCCCTTGTTGTTGAGGCGTGCCAGCTCGGACCCCCAGCGCTGTAGGCCCAGGAATCCGTAGCGCACCGACGAGGCCAAGATTTGAGACTCAGCAATGCCTCCGCCCTCCATTCCCAACAGAGAGATACATCCTGAGGAACAGACATAGGGAAGAAAAACGCACAGACAAGACAGATCAACAGACGCGCTCAGACGCAATGGAAGGAGAACCTAACAGGTAATGTGTGGTGAAAATTGTCTGGTTTATTTCATACAGTATGTACACATACACGCCCCACAAATCTGGCAGACTGCTTCCAACCCATGCGTAGTCCACTGACTGAACTACAGTATCTCCCACCGCTGTCCTACCCGGCCATGATTCAGGCTCACAGAAACATATTGACCGTCTATCTAAAGCACCCAAACTCCTTTACTTAAGAACACCAATATCTCATAATAACAAAAACCCTGGGCCAGCGTTGGACGGCCCCCAAATTACATTAGCTATGTTACATGAATGTGTTTCTTAAATCACATTTCAGCCTAATGCATTTGATTGCACTTAGAAATAACATGGCAGATGAAGGCTAATAGAAAGCCAGTGTGTGTGTGTGTGTGTGTGTGTGAGAGAATGGTACTCACGCAGTTGGCAGTGCTTGCCCACGTAGGGGGACGGACAGCGGCAGTTGAAGTCTCCATCAAGGTCCCTACAGGAACCACCGTTCTGGCACGGCTGCTTGGCACAGTCATTCACATCTGTAGAGAGACATCATGATCATTATCAGTCACTGGCATTCCATTATGTACAAATCAACAGAACAATGACGGATAACACTATGTGGACAAGGGGTGATCGGATCCTAAATAAGCACTCCTACTCCAATATACGCTTTTTCTGAATCTAAAATATACGTTTCATAGGGTTTTCTGATAAAATCCTTAGTTTTTTCTTCATCTATGTTCTACATTTGATAAATCTATTAGTAACAGCAAAGGCTTATCTGAACAATGGCTGCATTGGCTCAGATGAGCGGTTGTGGTCCAATTCTCTGCAGCTCCCTGATTTACCCCTAGATGGCGTAATTTCCAACAGTATACACCGGAAGTGTGCGTTTTAGAGAGGGCGCTTGGCAACAGCGTGCATCAGAAGAATGGAATGAGAACACACTTTTTAAAATCTCTCGCCAACAACATTTGATTCAACTTCTTTTGAACACGGCTCTGAATTGACTGTGTGTCTGAAACGGAAACCTATTCCCTATAGGCCCTGGTCAAAAGTAGTGCACTACATATTCTTTCTACATTTAAGTCATTTAGCAGACGCTCGTATCCAGAGCGACTTACAAATTGGTGCATTCAACTTAGCCAGTGAGACAACCACCCCCTTTTTTTATTTTATGGGGGGGGGTGGGAGAAGGATTACTGTTATACTATTCCAGGTATTCCTTAAAGAGGTAGTGTTTCAAGTGGCTCCGGAAGGTGGTCAGCGACTCCGCTGTCCTGGCGTCGTGGGGGAGCTTGTTCCACATACGGAATAGTGTCATTTCAGACACAGCCTGTTTACCATATTTGTGTAGAATATGACCCAAATCTCACTAGTAGTCATCAGTGAAGAGTGTGATGTGTGATTCTGTGCCCAGGGCCAGGCAGATAGTCAGTCGGCCACGAGGAAAGCACACACACAGTTACTCATAATCAGTGGTGAAAAAAAGTAAAAAAAATTGTCATACCTGAGTAAAAGTAAAGAAATAAAAAATAAAATGATAATTTGTCACAAGAAACTAGCTCCCTGGTTTACAGAAAATACCCGAGCCCTTAAGCAAGCTTCCAGACAATCGGAAAGGAAATGGCGTTCCACCAAATTGGAAGTCTTCCGACTAACTTGGCAGGACAGTACCGTACAATATCGAAAAAGCCCTCACTGCTGCTCGATTAGCCTACTTTTCCAACCTGATTGAGGAGAGCAAAAACAATCAAACTTTTATTTTTGATACTGTCGCACAGCTAACTAAAAAGCAACATTCCCCAAGTGAGGATGGCCTTCACTTCAGCAGCGATGAATTCATGAACCTCAGGAGTCAGTTGTCTTTTCATAGCCGAGCGTTCAGAGGTAGAGAGGGAGTTAGAGGGAGGGAGAGAGCACGTCCGGTGAACAGGTCAGGGTTCCATAACCGCAGGCAGAACAGCAGAAACTGGAGCAAAGATTACAATAACTAACTCTTTCATCTGTGGTGTTAGCTAGCTTGTTCTATTAGCTCCTATGCTAGCTAACTGGCTAGATAAACATGGTGCTGAGATATCAGATAGGAGCTAATAGCCAACGTAGCTAGCTAACGTTAGCTTGTTATCATTTTGAACATGAACCATTTTCATCAACGAGCCATCTGACTTGCGGTGTAACGTTAGCCATTTACTGGTGTACTGATCTGACCAGCAGCAATCGTGTCCGTAAATTGACAGTTGATAGTCGGATTAGATGATCATCGTAATAGGGAAAGAAGGAAGTGTTTTAAAATGCCCAAATAAAGGTTGGCAATAGGTTTAGCCACATAAGAATCTTCCTGCATGTTTATGGACCAAGAAAGCTATGGACCAGCGTGCGTTCTCATTTCTCAAACTAGCCAAAACAAGCTCAATAACTCAATGCATGCACACACTCCTATTGAATATGCATTCACCTGTATTGTGAGTAGGCCTATGCCATCTTAATTTACCGAGTTTATCAAGAGATTTACCATTCAAATCAAATAATTTCCATTATGTTGTTACATTGTTTTTACCAAAGTCAAATGTATTGTTTCATTTGAAAATGATAGAGGAGCATAGGTCTGTTCCTATAGAGTTATGGAGGAGCAGAGGTCTGTTCCTATAGTGTTATAGAGGAGCAGAGGTCTGTTCCTATAGAGTTATAGAGGAGCAGAGGTCTGTTCCTAGTGTTATGGAGGAGCAGAGGTCTGTTCCTATAGCGTTATGAGGAGCAGAGGTCTGTTCCTATAGTGTTATGGAGGAGCAGAGGTCTGTTCCTATAGTGTTATGGAGGAGCAGAGGTCTGTTCCTATAGTGTTATGGAGGAGCAGAGGTCTGTTCCTATAGAGTTATGGAGGAGCAGAAGTCTGTTCCAACTGGCAGAGTTGATATCAGTGCAGAGCAAGGCCAGCTGGCAGAGTTGATATCAGTGCAGAGCAAGGTCAGCTGGCAGAGTTGATTCCAGTGCAGAGCAAGGTCAGCTGGCAGAGTTGATTCCAGTGCAGAGCAAGGCCAGCTGGCAGAGTTGATATCAGTGCAGAGCAAGGCCAGCTGGCAGAGTTGATATCAGTGCAGAGCAAGGCCAGCTGGCAGAGTTGATTCCAGTGCAGAGCAAGGCCAGCTGGCAGAGTTGATATCAGTGCAGAGCAAGGCCAGCTGGCAGAGTTGCATGTGACAGAGTACCCAACACAGCCTGAGCATCAAATCCAGTAGGCTGTTCCAGGCCGCCAGCGGGATGAGGTGTCCAGTACAGTCAGTGTCCTCTGACTTTGTGCTCTACTGAGTCCCGGATGGCAGTGCCATTCATCAGTATTTAAAAAAGGGGAAATCTGGGATTTGTACATCCATTTTGGGACTTTTAAATTCAACCTCATCCCTCAGCTGTTTACCAAAACAAATGGCAGGGTGAGTGCTTTGTTATTTATCAAATCCCAGATTGCCCCTTTAAGGAATCCAGGTCCAAATAGTTCCTGGCATGGAGCACAGGAGGGGCACAGCTAGGGGGTGCCCCACTGGTAGTACACACTGCCAGGTCTAGCCACACAACTGCTAAATTAAGTATATGAAGTTGTAATTTGCTCAGTGAAATCCTTTTGGGGAGTGACAGAAGACCACAGAGGACCTTAAGAAAGAATAGCCCTGGTTCCAGACTTTGCCAGACCGTGGTGTGGGGCCATGTGTTTTGTGTTATGACTGAGGGTTAAACATTTTTTGTTTTGAATTAACATTGAGATTTGACAGTATATTGTAGTCACAGAGATCCTATAATTCAGGGTTATAGGCTTCTATAAGTAATTATATGATTGTAGTATTGTAGGAGGTCTGGCCCTAGACAACACTGTGTGACAGACTGCTACAATAAGATTATAGCAACTGAAAAATAAATTGTGTTGATGCTTAGTGCAACTGGCCTGACCTGGTGTTAGCAAATTCCTTTCTATGACCATTTTAGGAAATGGCCTCCCCTGCTGAAAGGCTACCAGAAACTACTGTAAACAGAGCAGTGTGGCTACCAGAAACTACCAGAAACAGAACAGTGTGACTAGCAGAAACTACTGTAAACAAAGCATTTGAATCACAATAATGCACACACCCACGTAAATAGAAATGGATGCAAACAGACCTCCCAAGGTGGTGCAGAGCTTAATCTGTCCACTTCAGACTAGCCATATCCTGTGTGTGGTTGAGGCAACTCCTAAAACAACCAGAAATCTGCCTGCCACTCACTGTCACACATTCTTTCAGTCTCAGCTGCAGTCGTGTCTGAGCCAATTTAGGTGCCGACACTAAAGTGAGTAAACAGCATTAGACTTTCAGTATTGGTTACTGCCTGCCCATTGAGGCTTTCAGGCCAATTTCACACAGCCGGTAGAAGTGCTGGTGTCAGACCTGAGGGGAGGCTGTGACATTGTCGAGGCAGACTTCATTCACTCTTCCACTTCCACTTCCCTCTTTACCCCGGCAACAGGGCCGCTGACGTCTTGGGAGTGCTGCGTTCGTGACCACTTTCCGTTGGCTGGCTGAGCACGAGAGAGAGTCCGGTTTGCGTGTACAGCGGGTTTGCCGAGTGTGTGTGTGTGTTCTCTAACTAAGTGTGTAGCCGTGTGTTTTAGCATGCGAGTGTGTGTGTGTGTGTGTGTGTGTGAGAGCGCGCGCACAAGTGTGTGGGAGAGGATGTCGCAAGATTGTTACTACTGTACGCCTCTGAGTTGGCTGCTTTCAATTAGTCACCTTCACTGAGCTCCTGCCACACACACACACTGACCACAGCTTACAGGAGCTGCCGAGGATGCACCTCACTTTCTGCCCACACATACACGCACACACACGCTCTCTTTCTCGCAAACAAACACCCTCCCTCTCTCCAATACACACACACACTAATTACCGAGTAATACAAAATGTCAAAACACAGGCATCAGGAGTTCTAAATGAGAAGTTTGGAGGCTGAGCCCAAGAACAGCCCAAGGAACCTCACATACTTCTGCAGCCAAATGACCTTTACAGTCCTCCCAAATACATGATTCAATTAGCGTAAAAGCTAGCTGGCGCTTTAGCTCGTCTTTTCCGGGAGGTGGGTAATGTACTACGGAGTCAGAGCTTGGTCAAGTACTCTTTTGTGGTGCACATAGATGAGCATGGCCATGAACTTTTTAAGTCATATTCAATTATTTATGGCATAAATAGGGGCATGAACATTTAGAGTCGAAATAGACTGCAAAGAATATAAAATGGTGTCCCTAGCTAAAAAGCTAAAGAGGAAGAAACCATAACTGACAGATTGCACCACATTCGTCTCCTAATTGATCTGCATATTGCCCAGTAGGCAGTACCACAGAACACTCACTTTGGTGTTGGAGTGAGGGGAAAACTGATGTGTTGTTGACACGATCTGACTGTTTCCAGTTTCTGTGGCACGCTGCTGTGGACGGCTCTGCAGATAAAAGGGGATAAATAGTGCTGACCCCTGCAGTTCTCTCTCTGTGTGTGTGTGTGTGTGTGTGTGTG